AAATTAATTTATTAGGTCTAACTAAATTATTAATTATCCAAAATTTAATATCGATAAATATATATAAATAAAACTTATTTCTATCAAAAAATTATAAATGTTTGTGTAATTTGAAAGTTAATAGGTACGATCTTCACACCTGGCCCTTAAGGCTTAGTGGCATTAGCCATCGGTGCATTCCTTCCTCCCTGAGCAGGGTTCGAAATCCGCCCCTTGCAAAATATGTTAAAAAAAATATATATGTACGATCTTCAATTTTAAAAAATAATAATTATAAAGTGAATTTTTATATGAGTCCTTCAAAAAAATTTAATAAGATAATGTGAATTATATTATCTTTTTATTAAGTTGATTCGAGTGAAAATAATTCGGTTTCTTTTAAATAAAATCTTAAATTTAAATTTTATGAATGAATAAACATGTACTGAGACCTTATAAGATACAATGTGACTTGACTTTAAATTAATCAAAATTAATGTAATTTTCAGATATCAGAAACTTTATATAAAAAAAAATTATCCTCTTATTAATATTTTGTCCAAATTGTTAATTTTTTTCTCTTTTTAAGAAGTTATATTAATAAGTGTTTTTCTAATCTATACTTGATACATTTTTATCATAAATTTATATTAAAAAAATATTAATCTTTAATTTATCTATTACCTGATTAAATTTATTCACTTTAACACTGATAGTAAAATTAATGTTAACATTGTTATTTTTCTAAACATAAATTTGCGTTAAAGGGCACATGTTGAAAAAAATAGAGGCGGAGGAAAAACTCTATTAATAAAATTAGAGGATTTCATGGAGACATCATAGAGGATGTTCAGGTCTAGGTTCATGAATTTCATAGATATACTCCAAATAAACTCCAAATAACAAGAACGCATGTAAAGCAATTCAGAATGAAGCTCAAATTAGAATGTTATACGTGTGCTTCTGAAGAAGAAGATATATAGTTATATACTATTATACAATGACTATAACCAGCAGCAACCAGTAGTCGATTTGCTTGACTTCCGGGTACAATGAGAATTCCAACTCCTACACACAAAAGGCATCAAAGGAACATACCCAAAGCTTGCTAAACCGCCATCTGAAATCAGGGGAAAATATAAAGGGGTGAGCTAGGAAGGCACGGCATGCAATCCATATACAACTAATTAGGAAATTATCATAGTTGAATTCAATAGAGGTCTTGACTCAAAGCACAAATTAACTACAGCATTTCCAAATTGATCATGTTATGGTCACATAGAGGATTGTTATTCCTACACAAAACACTGTAAAAATGTTTACTTTGTCTAATTTTCAGTATGTGTTTACTAAAATGTTTGGTAGCATAAATTTATAGGCTAATCCCACTATTACGGTTAAATAATATAATTAACAGACAAAATATTGTCAATTGCTCCTAACAGTAATAGTTAAATCAAATAAATTTATATTATTTTTGTATGGCCTCAACAATTCTGTGTGCCTTAACAATGGCCTTCAAAATCACAATACAGAATAGAACATCCATACCGAAATCACAATACCATTAAATCCACCAAATATGTTAGCACTCACATTAGAGATGGAGCTAGTCTCAGTCACCCTACTGCAAGAGGACCACTATAACCTTGGAAGGTCCTCCGAATACCTCAATCCTCAAACAATAAGTTATATGGTTCACACAATATTAATGGGAATTAAGTCCCCTGAAAGTCATAGAATTCACAATACTAAATTGTAGTTCGTAAATCTACATGCAGTGATTTTTCTAGAAATGCACATAAAGTTCTGTCATACTCGGTAAAGATCCACACAAATTTAGACTAAGCTCGTGAAGTTTCAAAGCAAGAAAAACCATAACCGTATGTTTAATAGTCATGAACTCAAAGTATAGGTTCATTACAAGTCACGCACATGCATTATAACTTAGGAATGCAAATTCAATACAAGCGACTCAATAAAATTAATTATAAGCAAATTCAACTCAATATATGCACAGAAAATAATAGCTACTCACAGAAAAATCCCAATTAGAAAGCTTGCTGATTAATATTATCAACTTAACCCAAATTCCTACCTATTTCAGCTAAGTAATATTTGCAATAAGTAATGTTTGCAGCATGAGGCATATTAGTTTTCAAGTAA